TGGACGGATCGATTTTCATGATTTTTTTTTTCCAGAGTAATGTCCAACAATTTGTTAAAAGTAGTAGAAAAATAGTTGAAATAAATTAAATCAATAATTTGAGGTCCAACAGGCAAAGTTTGATATGTATCGATAAAGATGATTTGTTTTGTTTAGATTTTCTTCGAAACATCAAAACACATCAAATTGATGCGTAAGGAACGGTTCATCGAAGATTTTGCCGATCCTTGTTATTCGTAGCCAGTGTTCCGGATACCGCTTGTTTGATTGTTTGAAAGTTGATTGTAGCCGTCGCACAGTGGGGCTGTGACCCCGGTAGCATGGCAAATACCTCTAGTGCTGTGGCTATGCATTCTGCAGATTTTCAGTCTTCAACAAAGCTGCTCAGTTTATTAAAGTGGAGGCGAACCAGCCCCAGGCTGAAAGCCTCCCTAATAAAGATAAATCAATCAATCAGTTTATTAAGGGCCAACTTTTTGTGTTTTCTTATTAGTTCTTATTCCTGCCGCATAGGTGGCGCTCGAATATATCTTTTAAATGGAGGGTCCTAGAAGGATGGTTTCTTCGGCAAAGTTGTGCATTTTATAGTTATGAAATGTTATCGATGACATCTAAGACCTGTGACTCACCTAAAGTGAGACATCGGCCTACTAAGAAAACTGACCGTAAAAAAAGGTTTTACAGTATGTAGTCCAACATTAAGCCTCATGTACAGTACATTGTCGAAATAATAGAACTCATCCAAATATCACATGTTTTGAAATGTATCATACATTTTAGTAAAGATATTATAAAATGTCTTTATTTAGTCAACTCCCCATAGCTTGATAGGGTAGAGAACTACTTCGGCCTAATCGCCCATTTTGGGCCTATCGAGCAGAAATCTTCAAATAAATCCATGATTTCAGAGTAAACAAGTCAATTTGTGCGTTTGGTACGATACTTTAGTTAACAAGCTACGGAACGAAGTCAATGAGAACGCGTGATATGAAGGTTTGCACCCATTTTTCCCAAAAACAAAAGAAGCGCTCCGACCGAATCATGTTTTATCTTCATCCGATAGGCCGAAGTGAATTCATTGGCCTTTGAATGACGTTTCAATGCGTTAGGCCGAGTTTAGAATCCGTAGGCCGAGTTTGGCGTCAAGAAGCAGTGTTAGACTTTTGACAATGTCTCAACGATTGGTTTCTCTTTATCAAATCTTACGGTACGTACGGAAAGGTAAATAAATTTGAAAGCCATCAGTAATAATAACATTCTGTTTGGTGCTATGCTGTGCTAGATTAAGAAAGACTAAGTGCGGGTTGTGCTTAATAGACCGGAAATGGGGTAGTTAACCCTATTGAAGGGATAATTCAGTTATAGAATTATCGACTCATAGAATATATGCAGTAATTTATTTTGATCGCCTATAATTTGAATCATAATACTGAAATACACCATTTACTGGAATATCTGGCCATATTTACTCACATGAGTTTGAAAAACCGATTCAAGGATCCATGTATGGAAGTTCTGAGTAGTTAATTTATAATATCAATCACAGCCCATACTGAAATAAATGTTAACGAGCTTCCGTACACAGTTATGATTAAAACTTTTAAACACTTAGATATTTGTTCAGGCTATTCGGACTTGGAAAACTATTTAAGAGGTCTCGAACTGAAATCGAACAAGGTTCAGTTACCGCCGTTACCCTCTTCCTTGTGGCCATGAACGGAGTTTTTGGAGGACTGCCGGAAAATGTTTACATTTTCGTGTATGCTGACGATGTACTTATCGTAAATACCGGCAGCACGTAACAGGATCAAGGCCCAGGCAGCAGTCTCCACTGTAGCCAGGTGGACCAGCGTGGTAGGTTTCCAGCTTTCGGCCACCAAAAGCGTCAGGTGCCACGTGTGTCCATCCCGGCATTATTAAAGTTCAAAGCCAGCCCATACCACTGAAGAAGACGGTCCGTATTCTGGGGGTACTTGTTGACCGGTCCCTCAACTTCGAGCAGCACTTTAAGGTGATCAAGAACGACTGCCGCAGTAGGATCAACTTGATCCGCACCATCTCTCGCCCCCCCCCCCCGGTCTAATAATTGCGACACTCGTTTCCGGGTTGCAAGAGCCGTCATCGATAATCGCCTACTGTACGGTCTTGAGATGACGTGCATCGCCACCGAAAAGCTCGTGCAGATACTAGCATCAACTTTCAACACCTACGTTCGGATTGTCTCCGGTCTTCTTCCATCAACGCCCACCGATGCCGCATGCATCGAAGCGGGTATTCTGCCCTTCTGCCATCGTATAACGAAAGCCGCTGCCTTTACCGCAATGACCGGAAATGACAGGATCTTTCTCCTCGATGAGGGGAACAGACTCCTCCGCATGACTGCCAATTCGGAGCTCCCCCCAGTGACCAAGGTCCACTGGTACGGAGACAAAAGTTGGCGCATACCTCCACCAAAAATCGAGAGTCGGATAAAGAGCAGGTTCAAGGCTGGAGATAACTCTGCAGCGCTGAAGAGAACAGTAGATGAACTGCTAGGCTCGGACTCCCGATCCGGGGTCGGAATTGGAGTAGCCGGAATTCCAGCACCGATGAGTAGCAGCCTACCGCCACAATGATCGGTTTTCTCTGCCGAAGCTGCGGCCATCTTTGTTGCCGTTACAACACCCTCGGACCGGCCCATACTGGTGCTATCCGATTCGTACAGCGTGATACAAGCCCTTACATCGGAGATCCTGGCTCATCCATGGCTACAGGGTATTGTGGAGGCCACGCATCCGAACACAGTGTTTTCCTGGATCCCTGGGCACTGCGGTATTCCCGGAAACAGCGAAGGCGACAGCCTGGCAGAGTCTGGACCAGCTGGCCCCTGTTACACCGACGAAGTGCCACTACAGGACATAAAGCGATGGATAGTCAGCAACATGTGGGAAGCCTGGGAAGCAGAGCGGTGCCAATCGCAATCCCTCTTCATCCGAAGAATCAAAGTAACGACGAGCAAGTGGACGGATATGTCGAAACTACGGGACCAGAAAGTGATTTCTCGTCTTAGGACAGGCCATACAAGGATCTCACATAGTTTTGGTGGGACGCAGTTCCACAGAATGTGCTACGTTTGCGGAACCACTGCATCGGTGGAACACACCACTTTAGCGACAGTTATTTATTTCCTCAAGGACGCGGGGCTAAACAAAAACATTTAGGTCCTTTTAACTTTCATTTGGTTGACGGGACATCTCTGCCGGACGGAGGAGCTCCGATCTCTTTCAAAACCCTACATAACTTTGATGTACCAGATTGTATTTTTTTTTCGTTGCCTGTATTGTTAGTATTTTTACTGGAATCTGTTTTAATTGCTTCTATTTGAGTACATATGAATTGTAAGCCAACTCCGTAACAAACTTTGCAGGCAGAACCCCCCCTATTTTATAGAGATGAACGAGCCAACGGCTAAAAATCTCTCTATTAATGTCAAAAAAAAAAAAATCATCAAATTTCATGAGCCTTGAAAATTATGCATTGTCCTTTGTCTTGATGTTTTTCAAATCTGTGATCTTGGAAAATACCTAGGAAATTACTCAATGTCCGGCATAATGAGAGTTTTTATGTATTTAGATATTATTTCTAACAGCCTAATGTACCATTCTAGCAGAGTTATCGGGCACCCTAATGCACATTCTTCTATGAAATAAAAGACTTCAACGATCGAATCAGCGAGAAACCCCATCCCAGAGCGGTACTCCTTCAAACGCCGGAGCAAGTTTAACAAATTTCTAGTTCAAGTTCATTTGTATCGCGCGCGTTGCAACTCGATCCATGCTTTAGTAGATTGTCACGACACGGATGACATTTTCCTCGCTACCGCGCGCTGGTGGTTAATCAAACAAGGATGCCGGAGAGCATACATTTCCATAAAACTTGAGCTGCATAGCTGCACTTGCCTAACAGCTATTCGAATAGTAAGAATGTGATTCAAAATGGATGACGGTTAGCAGAAATATCATCAATCCATTATTAGAGTGGTGAACCTGTTTTCGCTGTTGCATACACCATCGGATTAAGACTCTTGCTGCCGGCCGGGTAACAAGCGAAACCAATGCATCCTTATTAGCACATTTGCACTGTTTGCTACACATGACACGCGGTGGTGTGAACCTGCCCTACAGGTTACCGGCCCGCTACCGGTGAGCTAACTCGTCATTATGAAATGCACACATACACTACCACGTCCTCATCCAGCTTGATGTTGTTGTTCACACGACCGCCATAATCACTTTCGATTGGAAGCTTGGAAGACTTGGACAACGGACAGCGGACAACGGACAACGTTGGCGCGCATCAGGAGTAAAAAAAATCACACTTTACATCACCACTGGACATTAGAAGTTATTATTCAATCGCACAGCAAGGCAGGGCTTGTTTGATTTAATAATTTGGACAGTGCGCGCAGTGACCGGTGATGGTAGATGCGATTGCCGATATGCGTTCAAGGTCTTATATTTTTTGCCTTCATATGTTACTTCTAATGAAAACAATCGTCAAGATTCTAGTTTAACCACTTGATTCAAAACTTGAGCTCTGTCGAATGAATTTGCAGTTTCGTAGGTTTAAATTTTGTGGTAGCTTACTGTAATGTACACACTTAGAAAATATCTCCGACTTCGGTCATTATTTTACCGAAATCTCAACCGCTGAGCGGTCGGTAATGTTTTCGGTAAATTTTAGAATTACCGAACTGTCCGTAATTCTGATTGAAAATCAGCTGTCAAAATGATACGAAAAAATCGGTAAAGTTTACTGAACTAATTGTAAAACTAAATTACCGAACATATTGTTAATTTCAAAAGCCCGTGGGAATAAAATTGGGTTCTCAATAAAATAAAACAAAACACGTAATTATGAGTTTGAATTAATGTATTCAATTTTGTTTTGTATTGGATGCGTTTTCGTTATTTGGGATACATTTTTTTTTTGTAAATTCATTCATTCAGAAACAGGTGAAAATGTAGAAAATCGTTGGATAAATGATTAAAGAGAATGCAAAAATTTAGCTCCCGTGGTGCTCAGAGTAGCAGTATGCAAAACAGCCCCGCGAAGAAAAAGAAAAAACTGCCTGTCAGTTGGAGCTGGTTGGACATTGAGCACAGTAAATGTCTCAAGAAGTATGTTGAACGCAAGTTTCAATTCTGCCAGAACCGGAATGGACCATTCGCTCCAGCGAATAACGCAATCTTCGCTGTTTTTCAACGGCTCTCCTCTTACGTACAAAACAGGAATCATCGATGCAGTTTGCGGAGGGTCATCGTCCATCTGAATTAATTATATTAAGATTTATTTTAATTTTTGTTTAGATTTTCAATTTGTTTACCTGTATCCACTCTATGATGCCCGATAGCGGGTTATTCTTCATGTTATTCTTGCTTGTAGTATCTTGCTTTCGCTTTGATCCTCTTGACGGATTTTTTGACCGAATTATCGACAACGCTCGAACGAAATCTGTAAATAAATTGATTGTTTCAAACTATTGAATATTTTCTAACGTTGTTAATTAATTTCCGAGATAATTTCTTACCATTTTGTATTTCTTTGAACTGATCCGAATGGTGCTCCAAAACTGCGAGTTCGATTGGTTCCCAATATTCACAGAAAGATGTTGATTCAGGTTTGATTTTGGCGTAATCCAGGCTTATCTGTAAGATGAAATGGTTAAAGTTTTACATCACTGTTGTAATTGTGATTGCCTATTGACTGGTGCTTATTATATTATTAAGATGCCTTAAAGATTTAAGATGAAAGAAAAAAGGGACCAATCATCGTTGATCGGTTCTCTTCATCGATTTCCCTTTTGCGAATAACGTGACTGCAAATTTGGATGAACATTTCAATAGGTCCTATCTGCATTGATCGAATCTTTTCATCGACTTTCTCTTTTGATAACAACAGCAAACAGATTTCGTGCTATATTAGCCGCATATTTTGATAAAGGAGGCTCTTATCTAGTGTCCAAGAGAAATGGTGAAGTATTCGAATTTTTTACAGTTGCCCCTCTTGCATTTATCGCAAGGATCTGACTCTAATTGAAAGGTCCCGCTATTTATACCCTTCGGAGTGTTGAAACACCCTCCAAAAGCGCGCCCCTTTGTCAGTCAAAATTGGATTTCTTAGCAACAAAATTAAGGTTTGACACCGATAATGACCATGCATCAGAACCCTAGTCTTAACCACTCCAAACTAGGGAACAACGGATAGAAGATTAGGAATTACATAGATGAAGACAACTAACTCATTTTTTGCCTTGTTTCAAGATCATCCTCGGTAGACAAAGCCGAGTCTTGTCACTATCAACATGGCAAAAAAAGTAACAAGGACTAAGATGTGTTCCTTGGATTACTGGAAAATCCTGTTCCCCTAGTTTGAAGTAGTCAGGACTAGGAATCGGTGGTAGATCTTACATTCCGTAACGTACCACGAAAAGGTGTTCTACCCACGTTACGGGGCCAGGGGCCAGTTAGGCCAGTGGCAGGGGCCAGTGTTACAGTGATTTCCACTAGCTGAATATAGGCATTATCCCAGTAAGGTATTATAGAACGAATAAACTTTATTGCCTTATTCGGAAAAGTTGTTCATACATCTGAGGGTTGTATTCCATTGATTATGGCCTGCCGGAATATTAATCTTTCTATACTCAGGTTTTGAAAGAGTCCGTCCAGTATATTTGACACCGATCAGACCTGGGACATTCTTATTTGTGGTATTTTCACCGACTTTATCGTCTCCAGTGCTATTACAGGTCCTTGTGGTAATAATTTTATCCTAATTAGCTTTAAATGGAGTCCTTTGAGAGCTATGGACAGTGCTTGGTCCTGGGACATTCTGAATCGTGGTGTTTTTACTGACATCGTCACCTTGTATCAGTACTGTTAGCTCTGTAATTTGTTTAACTTCAATTTTTCCCAATCCATTTACCTTCAGGACTCTCTTCCTAATAGGAGCATTCCCCAATTTGTTGTCCAAAACAAATTCACATTCCTCTAACGATCTCATTGATATCCCATCTAAAGGTAAGTTCCACACGAAGTTTATTTATTATTTTCCTCATAAATATCTCCCAGTTATCAACCACTAAACCTTCATTTTGAGCTTCTAGAAGAGCAAGGAATTATACTAGATTTTTTTTTATCCAGTCAGATGTTTCCTGGTTTTTGCAAATAAGAATTACGTAACCTGGTCTGAACAAGCAATTGCAAAATTTAGGTTTAATTTTTTCTTTACATTGATAATCGTTCGGATCAAGCTGCCTACATTTGAACTCTTCGTCTGTTGTATTTATCTCGCTCCCAACAGCGGCAATGAATTGTATGAACAGCACTGTTCATGTGTTCAAAGACTGATGGATCAAGCTGGTGATCGTGGTTTGGTTGTTGTTGTTGGTGACTACAATCTACCCTTCTTGAGTTGGGGCCATGATGATGAATTGCGATGTTTGCTACCTACAAATACGTCTTCTGAGCAGGAGTTCACTGTGGTTGAATCGTTCATCGCTAATGGTCTGCATCAGTTGAATCATTATGGTAATGCGAATGGAAGGATACTAGGTTTGGGTTTTCTCTACTGATATCAATGTACTCGAGGTTGTGGAGTCCCCGTGACCGCTACTGCGTGTTGATGAACATCATAAACCATTGGTGCTGGTGATTGAAACTGCAAGCGAATGTGAAATTTCCCGAGCAACTGATCCGTTAGATTTTGACTTCAAGCGATGTGATTTTGCAGTTTTGAGCTCAATGATTTCGGACGTCGGATGGGTGAATCTTCTAATTGGTTGCAGTGTCGACGAAGCGGTATCGATATTCTACGACAAGCTTTATGGAATCATCAGCGAAGTTGTGCGTCTAAAACAACGGATCGACACCCACAGGAAGAAACAACCATGGTGGAACAATGAACTGCAACGACTGCGAAATCGTCTACGCAGGGCAATGAAGCGTTACTTTTGGTCTAGGAATGGCATAAGGCTGAGCTGCGTGACTTAGAGAGCGAATATAACTCTTTGCATGCACAATGCTTTCGCTGCTACATTCATCGTACTGAAGCAAGTTTGAAACAGGACCCCCAACAATTCTGGCAATATGTGAAGACCCGTAAGCGATCCAACGGAATGCCTCGACATCTTCGTTACCAAGGTGAGGCAGCTGATTCTCCATCAGAATCTGCAAATCTGTTCTCGGCGTTCTTTCGAAGTGTGCAAAGTAATAACCGACCACCTTTGACTGAATCGTACTTGAGCAATTTGCCGCACTACGACTTGAACGTGACCGTCGACAACTTCTCTCGGCAAGATGTTTTTGCTAAGCTGGTTTCTATCGACACTTCGAAACGAGCAGGTCCTAATTTACAGAATTTTTAGTTTCGTGTTTCGCGATCGCGAAGCAAAATGGGTATCGTCCAGTAAAAGTTCGAATGGTGTTGGAATATTGGTTCTTCGAAATGGCAAAGAGTATTATTTTCTCGCTTTCCAAGCGGCAGTACAGGTAAAGGTGTTATATCCTAGACAAAAAGTGAGATCCAAAATCACTGTTGTCGTCATCGCCGTCGTCTTCGTGATAGTGTAGGTTTTTTTTTTCCTTGATTGCGTCGATCTTGTTTTCCGTGCTGAGAACCAATGCTACCGACGCCAGGATGGCAGCTACCACGCCTGGATCCTACCTATCGATCCATCAACTCATGAACCGGGGACCAACGGCTTTACTTCCCTTCCGAAGGAAGGCGTGATCAGAGATGTTATGCCTCAGAACATCCCGGCGGCGCCGACTGGGATTGAACCCAGGCCTTCTGGGGTGAGAGGTAATCACGCTTTCCACTACACCACCGGCGCCGCTGATAGTGTTGGTTGAACCATACGTATATTTCAAATAATCAACCGTTATTTCAATATCCGTTTATTCAAAAACGATCGTTCATAGTGATTTTACTCTGCTTACTGAGCAGAAAATCATGGGTTCAATCCCAGACATCTTTACAATAAAGAGTTGATAATATTGGTTCGTTTTCTCATAGCTCCGCATTCGTGTTTTTATCAAACTGCGATTGTATCAAAGCAATCATCACATCACTTATCAAGGTGAATCCTGGTCCAAAGAACCCCACCTTACTAACAAAACCTCCCTCCTGTGACCTTTGTGAGGACGCAGAGGTAAACACGGCCCCCATAACAACAAAGGTCACTTTAACTTTCTTTCGCATCTCCCACCTGGTTGCAAAGACGTGGCCGGCGTCATCATTGATCTTTAATATAAGGAGTCACTGAAACTTTTAGGGGAAATGGATGCAATGTCGGCAAAAATGACCCTAATTTGGGCCCATACATAAATTCAGCAATCGATTAAATTTTCAATAGCGATCAAAAATATCCATTAGTACCGTCCCAATAACGCGTTCATCTAGATAAAACTGATAAAAAGCAGATTTTTAGCTATGGGCCTAATCTTAAACCCATAGGCCAACATTAGAGCCATTTCCGCTACAATGAGAATTTTCGGTCACTCCTAACCCCATTCACTGTGCAATTTCACTGATTCTGGCCAATCACGGAGTAGCAACCATTGATTTGTGGAGTCAGTCTAAGCCGTCTAAGCATGTCTGATGCAGAGAAGCAAGCTACTGATTTAATTTTCAGATCTGTATGACAAGGTTGCAAATACTCATTTCAGCTAAAAAAATGTTTTTTTTTTTTAAATTATGAAATACATTGGATAATCCAAAGCTATGTTGATCATTATAACATTAAATTTTATAACAATCTTATTAAAATGTCGTAATAATACCTCTGACCAAGGAAAAATGATTTATATAATTGTCATAAAAGTTGACGATACAAATGCTAATGAGGAAAAGAATTCCGCATTTCTTTTTCCCAAGTCCTTTTCCTCTCCTTCCCTTCCCTTCTTCTCTTTTCAGAAAGCGAGTAATGGTGCTATAACCATATGCCATATAGGGCTAGGACAAGAGTTAGTGCTCAGGTCCCAACCGCTAGAAGAAAATGGTAGCGAGCAAGGGCGCTATAACCTAGGCGAATACAGCATTCCCTCCGTATAGGTTACGTCCGCACACCGCTCTCTGTTGTCCTTCGACTGAGGTCGGCTGGATCGATTGAGGGATGGCAGTGGGTTGGCGGTGCCGACCACGCTTGTACGGAGGGAGGACTGTACGCTCGAACACAAGGGGTAAATACCTGTGTTCCATCCCAGGAGATCGGACAACCAAGGAGTGTACATTAACTTTCTTAGCTCTGTCACTCCCAACGATTTATATAGCCTATTTTCAAATCCTGCATACGGAGCGGTTGGTACGGTATGTCCCCGCTCTTTGATTACCTGTGGATTAAATGTTAACCACTGTCTATACTTATTAAGTAGACATGGTAAACATTCACTTCCACAAAAATTAACTAAACGCTACACAGTAGGCCTGGCCGCTTTATTGTTTGTTTCACATCCTTGATGTGCAGCAGGCATTAATAATGACAAGAAAAATGATAGATGTATCATTTTCCAGGATTCTTTCAAGTACTGGCTGTGTATGTGTAGACTAGACTAGACTAGACTAGGAGGCTCTTATCTAGTGTCCAACACATAAATCACAATAGGAAATGTTTTTGCAGCTTTTTTCTTTTCTTTGTTTTGGTGATTTTTAACAGATTGGCTAGTTCATCACCTTTGTTTTTACAGCTGGAACGATGAAGAAAATCGATCAACTCAGATAGGACCTTACGAAATGTACATCTATCAATGTATTTTTTGTGTTGTTGCTCCGAGAAAGTCGATTTAGATAATCGATCAACAAAGATACGGCCTTTTTAAATGTTACGAAGCATTTCTAGATAAACATTTCAAAAAGTCCTATCTACGTTGATCGGTTCTCTTCATCGACTTTCTCTTTTGATAACAACGGCTTTTCAGACGAATTTATTGCTATTTTTGCCACATAGTTTGATAAAGGAGATTCTTATCTAGCGTCCAAAACATCAATCGGAACAGCGAATGTTTTTGCAGCTGATTTATTAACGAAAGAGAAAAGTCAATGCAGAGAATCGATCAATGCAGATAAGACCTTCTGAAATGTTCATCTAGATTAGGCAGCATCTCAAGAAGCAAGCGATGCAGTAAGCAACGTAACTCTGGGAAACGGTATGAGAAGGAAACGTCAACAGAAACAGAACGTAAACAAATTTCTTTTCTTCAAATACCTAACGAATAGCACGAATAGTGATCACGAAAAAAAGTTGGGATGTAGTCACTGTAATTTGTAATTTGTATATTTATTCGTGACGTGACCTATCACTTAACAAACTTATCTTAAGGTAAAGTTTGTCAACTGATATAAATACAAATTACTGTAACGACATCCAAACTAACTGTGCCTTTAAAAGATGACTATATTCTTACCAGTTCTCCATTGTAAAGGGTGATACGGTCAAAATTTGGTCAATATCAACTTGACGTATTTCTTTCAATTTTGCATTTAAAAAACCTGAACACCCCTCATTTTGAAGGTGTGTGTGTGTAGAATGTTGCTCCTATTTTGATTTTGGAATTCACTCTTCAGTTGTCAAAATGCCGTCCAAGCAAGAAGAGCAGCGTATCAAAGTTTTGCTCGCGCATCGCGAAAATCCGAGCTACTCGCACGCAAAGTTGGCAAAATCGCTAAAAGTTGCCAAATCAACCGTTACAAATGTAATTAAAGTGTTTGGGGAACGTTTGTCGACAGCCAGGAAGTCTGGATCGGGGGGAAATCGAAAACCGGAAGCCGCTGAGACGACAAAGAGAGTTGCCGGTAGTTTCAAGCGAAACCCTAACCTCTCTCTCCGAGATGCCGCAAATAAGCTGGGTGTATCGTCTACAACCGTGCATCGAGCCAAAAAACGAGCCGGACTATCGACTTACAAGAAGGTAGTGACTCCAAATCGCGATGATAAACAAAATACGACGGCCAAAGCGCGATCCCGGAGGCTGTACACGACGATGCTGACGAAGTTTGACTGCGTGGTAATGGACGACGAAACCTACGTCAAAGCCGACTACAAGCAGCTTCCGGGACAGGAGTTTTATACGGCAAAAGGAAGGGGAAAGGTAGCAGATGTTTTCAAGCACATGAAACTGTCAAAGTTCGCAAAGAAATATCTGGTTTGGCAAGCCATCTGTACCTGTGGCTTGAAAAGCAGCATTTTCATAGCTTCCAGGACTGTCAACCAAGAAATTTACGTGAAAGAGTGTTTGAATAAACGTCTGCTGCCTTTCCTGAAGAAACACTGTTGTTCCGTACTGTTTTGGCCGGATTTGGCATCTTGCCATTACGGTAAAAAGGCCATGGAGTGGTACGCCGCCAACAACGTGCAGGTGGTTCCCAAGGACAAGAACCCTCCCAACACGCCAGAGCTCCGCCCAATTGAGAAATACTGGGCTATTGTCAAGCGGAACCTAAAGAAGACCAAAAAAACTGCTAAGGGCGAGCAGCAGTTCAAGGCAAACTGGCTTTCTGCGGCGAAGAAGGTGGACAAGGTGGCTGTACAAAATCTGATGGCAGGGGTCAAGCGTAAGGCCCGGCAATTCGGATTTGGAAAAGCGGAAGCCTAACTGAATATTTTTCCTGAATTTTATACTAATTGAACTTGAAAAAGAAATTTAATTTGATTTTTTAAATAAACGATTTCACCGATTTACACGCGTTTTCCCTTGACCAAATTTTGACCGTATCACCCTTTAAGCAGTTAATACCGGAAAGTCTTTCAAATAGTTGCTGAATGTGTTTTCGCCGTGTTCAAAACGAGAAGCTTCACGATCGTTGAATGTCGCTTTCCATAACTCCACCACACGGAACTTGTTTGCTCGATTTGGGACAATAAATTTCAACTCCTGAATCTGATGAAAAAAAAAACGTAAGAAAAATGAATTTCCAACTAACCCGAAATAAACAGATTTTCAGGTCTACCAGCAATTTGATATCTTGAAGGCAAGGCTCTTCGACTGCAGAAGCATTCTCTTCCTGATGATTAACCTTTGGTTGCTCAATCCGACGCCGTTTGATAACTCGTTCGTCTGATTTCCTCGCCAAATATTCCATGCGATAGTGAATTCGACCAGCATGTCGATTTATTCCGCGAGCATGTGCATGGAACCAAAGTGCCTAAAATAAATGTATGCATGAAAATGTTGATATGCAGCCAAAACCAGTGAAGTGTTCACCTGCGGAACGTCACAATTAGAGGCCGCCAGGATAGGATAGGTTTTGACGAGTGAGGCAGCGATTTGATTTTTATGGAAGTTTGTCGATCGGCTATAAAAAAAATAAAATAAAGTGAATTCATCTTTGTTGGATAAAAAGTACAGAGAACAATGCAAACTCACCATCCGTATAGTGATTTTAAACATTCGCAGAGTATATTCGATATGAGCTTGTAAACCTTTTCGTTGACGCATTTCTCTTCTAGCAATAGTTCTTGAATAGCAGCTCCATTTGGAGTTCTTTCAAAAATCCGGTCGATGTTTATGATCTGTTCAAAGATTACGTTTGTATCATCATCATTCCAAGGTAAAATAAGAGCTTACCTGTTCGAGGTTAATGCCGTGATAAGGATCGTTTGGATCAAAATCGCTTCAACTTGATAAACTTCCTCGGTGGAAACCGTGGAAACATCTTCAATAATATCGTGAGTAATGTTAGTCTCATTACACTTGTGCTGCGTTTGAATTTTTTCAATTATTTTGATCATTTTCGTTGTCATGCTCATTCTGGCAAAATCGCGCTCGTTCAATGCCAGAAATATCTCCAAATCGTCGATTTCTTCTTTTTCTGGAAAAGATAATTAATTAGACGATTAGACCTACAATATTGTTGCCGTAATAAGGAATGAAAAGGCTCAACAATCTACCTAGTAATCTTGGTTATAAAACCGTCTCGAAATGTATTTCTTGGAGTCTTGTGTTGTTGACCAAAATGAGTACGTCGTGTGTATGAAGCAGTTTTCTATACATACAAGTTCATCATTACTTGTGACATCGACTTCATAAGCTTGAAAGAACTCGTTGTACCATGTTGTAGAGCAGTGTCGTAATAGAACATAAACTTGTTTCTCAACAACCACAAGTTCACGAATTATGGCATAAGAAGGAAATAATGGGTTTGAATGTTTTTTTTAACCCAACAATTAGGTTCGCTCGAAGCTGGATGCCATTAATGATCACTGCTTTCGGTAGTAAAGCTATTTCAATAGCTTCTTCCAGATAAAGGTAACTGAGACATTATTCACGTTTTACAAGTTTTGCCGAAATATAGTTCAACTTATAACAAAAAGGATTTTCTAAAATGTTAATTATCATTCGGAAACATTGCCTTTTCCCAAGACTTGAACAAATATTTCTAAAATTTTTGCAAGTAGCTGCTTGAGTTTTTCCGATTTTATTGGTCTGTTCGAATTGGAAGCAATTATACTGCTTCATCGATCCGCTCTTTCGTATACATGTAGTATAATGTCGCAAATGGTGTAGCTTATTAATACGTTTGTCAAATTTTGAATAAAATATTTGTTCGAAAAATTTGATATGTTCTTCGAGCTGACATAATAAATTATCTGATACAACGGGGGACATTATTATTCTCACAATATTGATCAAATGGCCTATTAGCTGCATGTATTCACATTCCTCTGGGACTTCCTGGCAAATCAGAAAGGGTAGTGCACGAAGAAGCAGAAGTGTCTGCGCTGAGGTTTGCCTTAACTTGTGCTTCGTAGGGTGCGAGATCATTTCATTGGTGAAGTTTGGAGATGGTTTGTTGCATCGATCGTTGAAGCCATACATAAACGTATTGATCCGATTGTTGATGAATTTTGCAGTAATGTTTGAATTTTTCTCTTTGTGATAATGATATAAAACCAGTTGGATCGTCAGAGGAATTACTCCTTCCGCTAAATCATGCATTCCATCCAGAGCAAAGTTATCAGTAATGTGGAAATATTGTAAATCGTTAAAAACAGATCCTGAACATTTTAACCCACATTCTTTAGGAGTTATTGATCCATTCTGCACCAAAGAAAGATGTTGGTCATACCAGTCTTTATCTTTGAGGGCATGCTCTGAAAATGGATCTTCATGAAACTTTTTTCTGGTTATTTGGCATATTCTGCAAAATAAATTTACACTTGGGCTAAGTAAGCCGAAGACGTCGTGAACTGCCAACGTATCACCGCAAAATATGGTCATAACTGCTCTCAGCATAAATTTTTCGGTTCCATAATAAACTTCGATTCCTTCTTCTAGTGCCTTTAAATCGGAAATCAATGGTTCGAGGATTCTGGCATATCCGTTTTTCTTCACATCGATGCTCGTGCAATGCACTAGTGGGAATACCGTCCTTATGGAGCTATTCCACTTTTCTGGAAAATTCTGGATTTTGAAGCTAAAGCGTTGCCAAGTTCAACGTCATCTTGATAGATACTTAAACGAACGCAATTAGGGAATTTTTGAAAATATTCGTTGGTTTTGAACGTTTCGCCGGAGCGGAAAGAGCTGTATTCGGTTACACATGGAATGCTCTCGGACGACAAAAAAGCCTCTTCCAGATGCTTCCGATTCTCCGGATTCCGAAAAATCAGCTTTAAAGTATCTATCAGGCTGATATATGATGCAGTTTCGTTTACCAGGATTTTTTTAGGCACATAATTGATGTGGCAAACATCTTCTCGACGGTTCAACAAAATATCACTTGAAACCGGAGCTGATACTGATAATTCATCCAGAAACTTTTTCTGTTTTTGAAAACTGTTAACCTGATCAAACAGTTGATTTAGTTGAAACAGGGGGAGAGGTAGCTCATCGATTCTTCCGGTTCGCCTCCTAGCATCGTGCTATAAGGTACCAGGCGATAACCAGGGTAGTTGATCGATAGCTCGATGACGTCATTTTGTTGACGTCTGCAATGGGAAATTCTCATAGCAGGCGTTGACGATGGGATGTTGTCGAGTTGTTGAATAGCAACTATCGTGGTAACTCACCGATTACCTGTCGATCTGCCAAATTTGGAAAGACATCTGCATTGAATTGTCTCATATAATAATATTCCGCCCACTATATCACAAGAAATTGCGAGTAGCTGAGTGGAATGGAGATAAGTTAAGCATTGGGTACAGGACCAAGTCTCCCCTGGGTGGTGCCAAAAGATGAGCGCATTAGAATCATCAAGTTGCCATAAGGCACGGAATGAGACTATTGCATGGCTGGGTAATGAAAGTCTTCCATTCGTTATTCATTTCAGGTGGATTAGAACAGGTTTAGGTTTAGGGTGGGCGTTGGCCAGATTTGGATTTTTCAGATGTAATCCTGGATAGGACTCTGCCATTGAACGTCGCGTGAAAGTGGAACATAATGAAGGCGTAAGTACTTTTTCGTAGTTTTTAGTTTTCGGATTTGAAAGATCGTCGGTT